TTGCTGCGATGTTCTCTGCTGTTCTTGCTGCAGGGCTCTCTGCTGCAGTGGCTGTTGCTGAGGGTTGAGCGGCTGCTGCTCTTGCTGCGGCGGGGCTCTCTGCTGCAGCGGCTCTTGCCGAGGGTTGAGCGGCTGGTTCACGGGCGCGGGCTGCTCTTGCTGTGATGTTCTCTGCTGTAGCGGCTGTTGCTGACGGTTGAGCGGCGGCTGGCTCACGGGTGCCGGCTGCTCTTGCTGCGGCGGGGCTCCCTGCTGCAGCTGCTGTCGCAACGGCTGCCACCGCGGTGGCGGCATTTCTGGGACCTGCGGCGGTGCTGCTAGAAGCCCTTGCTGAGTTTGTGCAGCTGAAGTTTGTGGGGCTGGTTGCTGTTGCCGTGGCTGTGCCACTTGCTGCGGCCGCTGCGAGGAGGGGGGGGGAGTCTGAGGAGTTGGCGGGGCTTGTTGGACCTGCTGCTCTTGCTGTTGCTGTGCTGGCTCAGTTATTTGCATTGGCCGTCCTTTTGGCCGCGGAGTTAGCGGGGCTTGGGCTTGGTGCTGCAGCCCTGCTGGTGGTGGGCTTGCTGCGGCTGTGGCTGGACTTGCTCGTGGCATTGGCATTTCTGGTCTTGCTGAATGCCTTGGGTTTAAAAGGCTCTCAGGTGGTCTCCTTGGACTTGCTGCGGCTGTGGCTTGACTTGCTTGTGGCTTCAGTGCTTGTTCTGGCTGCGGCCTTGCTGGGGGGCCAAAGCTGACGGGTGGTCCAATTGGCTGGCGGGGCAATGCCGCAGGCTCTGGCTCAGGCAGAGGCTGGGAAGGCATGTTCACCTGTGCTGGCGAAGTTGATTGTGGCTCCACGGGCTCTGGTCTGTCCTCTGGTCTGCTTGGCTCTGCTTTACATCTGGCCACGAGTGGTCTGCTTGGCTCTGCTTTACATCTGGCCACGACCACTTGAGGAGCCTTGGCTTTGTTGAGGACCTCTTGCCGTGCAGCTCGTTGCCTGCAATATAACTCTTGCGTGCCAACTACCTGAGTCCAGCCATGGATGTGACGACTGAATAATATAATACTAATCTTTAACAAGTAAGTCTTAAAGGTTAGTTTTATTATCAAGATGCCAAGTCACGCCAAACCGTTTAAGCGTGTGTCGGAGTACGGCGCCTTCCCCCTTTTTTTTCTTCTTCTTCTTCTTGCTCCGGTCCTCGTCGCCCCCCTGCTGCTCGGGCCAGTGCCGGTGTTCATTCCACTGCGTGGCACGGTCATTCCACTGCTGATCTTGCCACTGCTCATCTTGCCACTCATTCCACCGCCACTGCTCATCTTGCCACTCATTCCACCGCCACTGGTCATCTTGCCACTCATTCCACCGCGTGGCACGGTCATTCCACTGCTGATCTTGCCACTGGTCAGCCATGGAAGCGGAGCTACTACGTGTCAGTGTCTACTCGTCTTCACTCACTCTACGTTGTAAAAAATATAATTAATTAATTATGCTTCTGAGTCTGACTGAGACAACCTGGTCAACTGCGGACGCACTGTTCTTGCTGACTCAATTCAACCTTGACGTGAAGCCAAATCTGACAAATGGTCAACAACCGCTGATTCGATTATTGATCTGATCAAAAGCCCACTGCAGAAAACCAAACCACCCGGGTCTCCTCCTGCTAGAAATCTGGCACGACGAGGCATGCGGAGGTCTGGCCTCGGTAGTCAATCTGGCAATTCACTTAGCATGAATTTTGTATATTATTATTAATTGATTTGAATTTTGTATATTGATTGATTGCCTTGGGCAAGTCTCTAACTAATGTCTAACATTTTTTACAAATGTTCTTGCCTGTTTGGAGATTGGTCCCGGTTTAGGGCTCGGAGTTGGGTCTGAGGTCAGGCAGAGTTCAAGTCTGATGGCTTCGGGCAGCTAGCAAATCGGAATCTTGCGCGGGAGAGGGTGGTTCGGTTTACACTTACGACTTACATTCAAAGCTTGCGGAAGCTCCGTATTTATCAGGGGGCGTTCGTCATCGGTTCTTACGCTCTCGGCAGGGTTAGGTCTTGCCCTGAAATTCCCACATCAAGAAACACATCACAGTCTTATTATACACTGTAACACTGACTACTCAACCCAACAACCATCAACCAATGGCCAATAATATCAGTTCAATACGACGTAACTAGTTGCTTGCTGGAAGAATAATCTTACTCTGCATTGACCCTCCTTTCTAATCTTGCGACCGCCCGGTCGGCATCCTATGGACGTCTGTTGATCTTACACCTTACTCCCTACCGTCTCTCCATATAGTGACTTTGCTATCTCTTACTCGTACGACCTCACGGCCGGCGTCCAAATGGACGTCTTGCTAATTCTTGCCGTATTACGACTCGGCTTCCCAGCCGCTGTTCTTACGACCTCACGGCCGGCGTCCGATGGACGTCTTGCAAAAACGGGCGCGACCTCCCGGTCGACCCGGCTAGCGTAAATCTTACTCCTAGACCCGGGCACGACCTCACGGTCGGCCCATTAACTCCTAACCCGAATCCTTAGGCGCTCACCCGGAAACCCTCACTGAGTACTTTGCCCGGGCTCCCAGCATCACCATGATCTTGTCCAAGACGTGAATGCTCTCTTGCTTGGGCTGGGCTTGCGGCTTCAGGAGGGCTGCATGGTGGGGTTGGTTTCTTTTCTTTCGGGTCTTTGGGAATAGGGTTCTTACAATGGACTCGGGCCAAACCCTGCAAGACTCGCAAACCCCAAACCCTCCCAACTGCAGCGAAGCCGAAGTCTTGCCCTGACTGAACCTTCCCCCCTTCCCAAAACAAAAAGACACAGCAGCACGCATGATTATGATGACGATGATGATGGTGAGTATCTATATGTGTTCATATTTGTTGTTGCTATTAACTACATTCTTTATGCTGCTAACAGTTAGTAACAATGTAATTGCCTAAGCCTCTGGCTACACTATTGTCAAGTTTGTTCTTTCGACTCAACTGTTGTTTATTCTTTCTGGTTACAAGCAGAGGGATGATCGTGATATTATTGTACTCAATCTTGCTGAAACCTGCTGATTATAAAATAGTACTATTGTTCTTGTTAGCCAGTATTCAGTGTTACAACAGGCAAAACCACGAATAATCTAGCTAAGTCAAAGTGTGTATTTAATTATTCATCACTTATACGGCAGTATGTTTTGATTAGTGTTGACATCATATCATACACAAGTTCATAAAGCTGCTTAATTATTATACAGAACCACTCAAAGAAAATAGATGCATATCCAGGACACACATGTTCTGCGTCCAAATTAAGCAATCAGGAAACTGAGTTTTTTTATTATTGATACTATTAGAATATGAATTGGGATCGTACCGGTGATAGGCAGGCCCCTGTGAGAAATAGTGTGCTGATGATGAGTTATTTAAAAATTATTGTTTAAATTGTTACCACTAGCGATAGTATCACAAATTGAATAATAAGAAATAGCTAACAAACAATATACTTTATTGACAATGGCCTGTATGGACATTGATTATCAATTAGTAACTCTGAACAGCACACTAACAAGTATTCTGCAAGTTAATTGTTCATGACAGGGTTCCCATATTATTCATCTATGACTAAGAATACAAGCCATTCAGGCTTCGAATGCAAATCTATTATACTATGAGCCATTCGTGATAAGGTTAAAGTATGCACATTATTGCTAATACTTTTTAGTTTATTAGTTTTTCACATTCATTGTAATTTCACCTTTGTATTTTTTGAATATAAATATTACTAAAATTATTAATATGAGACTTAATAAATATTTGTATTTAATACATCATTAATAATACTAGTATTAGTAATATTTAATTACTAATTTAATTAGTGTATTAGTATTATTAGTTCTGTTGTTACAAATTATATTGAAATATCAGTATCATAAGTACTAGTATTTAAATAAATTTAAGTATAATAATAATTTATGTAACATTAGTATTAGGATTTAATTAGTATTAGTATTAAACAAATTAGTATTAGCATTAATATTAGTATTAGTAGTTATTATTAGTAGTATTATTATATTAGTATTAGTATTATTAGTATTATATTAGTATTCGTATTATTGATATTAATATTAATATTAATTATAATTAAATGAATATTAATTAGTTATTATTAGTATTATTAGTATTAATTAATATTAATAATATTAGAATTTAATAATAAAGGTTCGAAGGAGGGGAGGTGTTCGGCGAGGGTTCGGCGAACGCCGGCGGGGTTCGACGAACTTCGGGCGAAGGGTCGGGTCTTGCCTTTCCAAAGTGTTGCCCCCTTCTGTGTTGCCCTGATATACGGCACAAACAATTCAGCTGTGACCGAAACAGGGCAAAGTTACGGGATTGCTAGGGGCTGCCCTAATGCTGCGCTTCACACACGCTGGTTTGGGAATGCGGCTTTCAAAACCTTAGGTCCCACGCTTGGTTGTGTTTGCCGCAGTCATGTCAGGCTCACAATTTTCATGCTTTCTCTCGGTTGGAATTGGTTCTCTGCTTGCCCGTAGCATACTCTTATGGCGCCGTTTTGGTGTTCGGACAGTTGGTGCAGTTCGCCGTGGGGATAAAAAGCATGTGCAGTAATTCTTGCCCAAGGTCTACCGTGGATCTTCGGCCCCGCATCATTATTCATCTTCTTTGGCTTTGTCTTGCTGGGTGCCATGGCCAAGCACACGCAGATATTAACTAATCGCACAGCACGACAAGAAAGCTCTGGAGCCAAACCGCATCAACCGCGACAGCCGGAGATCAGCATTTGAAGTGGAGCTTGCTGCCGTCAAGATCAAGCTTGTTGAAGGGACTCCTGTATTCTGGTTTTGAGGTGCTATTCTTAAGATCCATTCGTAGGTCCTTGTTGAGTCCGTATAGGGATCTCAATTCGCATGTGCCATGACGATCACTGAGCGCCAAAAATGGCAGGGAATCGGAATCACACACTCAGACTCAGAGATATTCGGAGGGGTGGCCGCACCAGTCCGCCGCGAAGTTCACAACCCGGGCCTGCCACGCGTGCTTCTGAAGGGCATCATAGCTTGTCTGGCGGACCCCAGCATCTGCTACTGCTACGCTGGGTACAGCCTTCTCACGGAAATACGCTATCCGGTCCTCCACCTGGAACCTCGCTGAAATATTTGTTGTGCCCGCCAGGTGCACCTAGAACATGGCATATCATGGAATCTCACAACACTGAAGGGGCACTGAGCGAAGGCTGCCTGACCAGTCAAACACTCGCAGTTCGCATATCCACTCCACTGAACAAGGACCTGCGGCGCAAAGTGTGAGCTGCCCACAAAGATCGCCTGAGAAAGATGATTCGGTCACATGCGAAAGGGTGGACGACAGATTGTATTCTGTGTGTGTGTGTGTGCACTGCTCAGGCCCCGCCTGACTTGTCGACCAAAACTCTCATGCCGGCTACGTCGCGAGGTGCTGTATTTGAGGTCCTCGTTTTGCGGGCAACTCGCATGGTTGCATCCCGATGGAACCCACGTAACCAGCACGAGCCTTCGTGAAGCCACCAGTCGGGATGTTCCGCACGCTGACCTGCAGTGTTCTAATGATTTCTAATGAACTCAGGCGAAGAGGGTTAATCGTATGTTATGGTAAGGGATATTTCAGGAATGGGGATCTCTACAGTTGAGGCATGGCACTTGCATGGCACTTGACGGCCTTACGAAATCACGCATCAGTCCACGTTGATTCCAGGACCCAGGCAAGTGTTCCGCTGGAGAGGCAGCAGGGCTCGTAGGCAAGCTCGCCGCTCACAGCGCACAAGAACTCCTGAGGCCATACTGAGTTAAGCACGGTGATCTCTGTCAGCATGCATTTCAGCCAGCTCAGTCCTCCATAAAGCCTTCATCGCCCTCCTGCGTATCACGCTCTCGGCAGGAGTTTGCACAAGAAGCATGGTCCCCAAACAGACACACAGCCAGCATGATGAACCTCTTCAGGACTCTCAGTGACCATGGGAACCTGGAAGGTTCAGGTGCAGGGACTACATGTCCGGGTCAACAGATCTCGCACTTAGACTCTGAAAAGGACACCCTGGATTTCGTCATGACTCCAATTCTTTTTCCTACTGTAATGTTCCTGATGCAAAATGATGCAGACTGATGCCTCAAGGTATAAGCTCCACCTGTGTATGCTTGCAACAGGAAAAGAGATTCTGCTGCAGTGCGCTGTAGCAAGACATGCGTACAAGAGCCATGGTCAATCTTTCTGATCATCATGTCGTCATCTTGAGAAACCGGGATCAGCACAGACTTGAAAGGGAGGTAGATTTTAGCGGCAAGACGCAGCAGAAGCGGACTTCCCGCATGTCTGAACTGCAGCACAGGCTCGTTCACGCTGTGGCGAGCCAGGATCGACTCTTCGATGCACTTCCGGCCCTTCAAGTCATTCTTCTAGGTCTCCAGCATATAGTGTATTGTGATGCCTCGCACATTCCAGAGAACCCCTTGGGCTCGGCTTAGTGAGGGTCATGGGAGAGTTGCTTCGACTGCGAAGGGTGCCCATGCCCACGAAAGCCATGTCAGGCAAGCTGCACAGCCACACAAACATACGGGAAGAAAGCGATGGGCTCACTTTTCACGACCTAAGTCGGGCAGCAGCAAGGTCCCTCAAAGACAGATCAAAGCGCAAACCTCATGGGCAAACCGTTAAAATCTGCCGGAAAGGCACGGCCCCAAGCTGTGGCTCAGGAGCCAACACACTTTGGACTCCCTCTCGAAAAGGACCTCAGATAAAGGGTGACTTTGCAGTCAACTGCATGAATGCATCTCAGTCTTCCCAGGCATTCTGTGGGGCGCAGGCCGAGTGGCCTTGACTGATGCGATTTCGACGCGATGAAAGCATAGCAAGGCTGATCCAGTCAGAGCCCAGAAGCAGTACGTACTGAATGCCTTCGAGTGTGACCTCGGCAAGAAGGCGATCATGCTAAGACGATTGGGCCTTTTCGGCTTGCAGAGCAAACGAAAAGGAACGAGGCTCTGCCGGCAGATGGCCCTGAGGGCCGGGCGACTGCATAAAACAGTTGGCGCTGCGCAGCAGAATTCCTCCCAGTTGGTACTGGCACGTTGCCACCGAATGATTGCTCTAAATTTGACCTTCTGCATGCAGTCGCCACGGTCGTCAGGAACTGCTCCCTGCAACACCTCAGCCAAACAGCTAGAGCGCGATGGACCGTGAATGACAAGCCATGAAGCAAGAGTCCTTCAGCTCCCAGCTTCAACTGCTTTGCCGGTTGTCGCCATGTTCGCGGCAGGCCAGACCAGATACCTTGGTGGCACGAGCCGCAAACCGTGTACAGTAGGCTTGATTGCCTTGCAGAACTGCTGAGCAAAGAAAACTTACACTGCCCTGAGACCTTGGAAAAAAAGCATGGCGTTGCCAGGAGATGGCACTCAGCGCCGGGCTGCAGGATGAGACAGTGGGCGGCCGGAAGCAGCGCAGTAATTCTCCCGCGGCAGAATTACAAGTGGGAACAATCTGCCAACGGGTGATGTATTCAAGGCGCAAGAAAGCAAACAGTTGCACTCTACACCAAACAATGCCTCAGCACAGGCAATGATGCTTGACCCTCCCTCTTGGATTCCCCAAGATGCCCTGGCACATGTGTCTTGCTCACGCACATGATCCAGTTACAGATTCCGTTGTTGAAAGAGCGCAAGCTTCTGTCTGGTGCATGCCTACCTGCGTTCAGACAGAGCACCGCTGGAAGCAAAAACGAGCACGCCAAACCAAACCAGTCTGTACCACAGGCCAGTTTGGGAATCGGAAGAGAAGCCTTTAAGCTCAGCAAAACGGCGCACTTCTCGACTTCTCGGCACCGTGCCTGCTCTCTCACTTTGCTTATGGCTGCTCCCTTCCATCAGTCAACGAAAGTTGGTCTTGCAGCTTGAATGCTGCAACCGAGGCGACCACGTTGCTCAAGACTGCATCTTTCTTCTTTGCTAGCCGGTGCATGTGCTCTTCGTGAAGCTCGTTTATATTCATGATGCTTTCTGCAAGAGCTTCGAGATCTTCACGGTCAACTTTCGAGCCATTGCTGCCAGCCAGCACCACGTCCCCCATCTGAGATACAAATTCCTGCAAGCGAGCGGCCGCTTCCTTGGACTTGGTAGTTGTCTCTGAGAGGAGGATCTTCGAGGTCTCGTGCTGGGTGATGATTTGCACTGCCAGGCCTGGATCGATAACGCCGGTCTCGATCATCGCTCGGCGCAACTGGCCTTCAATAAGAAGCCGCTTCTCTTCGTGTTCTTTCACCTCAGCCTCCGCTGCGAAAAGGTCCTCGGCCCGAAGAACATTTTCCCAGGTATTCGGAGAAGCCATCTTCCTGAGCCGAGCCAGGTAGGTCTTCTGAGTCTCGATATCCTTCTCGATCTGCATCAGGTCGTTCTGCAAATCCTTGCATTTCTCTGCAATGACTTGCTCGTCATGTTTCATGCGCTCGACGTCCCCTTGGACTTGCTTCTCATATTCCTTCATGTCCCCTTCCCATGCCCACTTCCACCAACGCTTGATGTGGAAATCCCGGATCTCCTTAGTGTTGGCCACCTGCTTTCTGCGCAGTTTGCCATACCGGTCCATCTCTTCATTTTGCTTCAAGAGGCGCTCCTTGACTTCGTCCCGGCGCCCTTCAAGCTCGTGAAGCTTCTCCTCTTCCTTGCGCTGTCGAAACATTCACTTGGAACATCCGGGAGACTTGAGACTGTATACAGTTTACAGATGTACACAATCAGAAAGTAGACAGCAACATTGCTAGCATTCGACATGCTAGTAACGTTTATTGTGCACTGAATGTCTAATCAAAGGCTTGTCAGAGGTTCTTGGTTTCTCGCAGGGTCATTCATTCAATCTTGATCCTCCCGGACCTGGCCTTTGGGCAACTGCAATGCTGCGATGCTGGAAGACACCGATCAAAAACGCGAGACATTCCGCCGTGAGTTGTGATCAGCTGTTCCACGTGCTTGTTAGTTTGCGGGTTTTGGATGCATGACTCCGGCTTTAGCCTCCTTGCAGCACTATATGCAGCAACTGCTGCGTTGCGCACAGGTTCACGCAAAATCGAGCATCGACTTACGAAACTCCGAAGTTCGGACAGCCAATGGCGGGCAAGCTTCCGAACTGATACTGCCAGCCAAACCCACATCTCGAGCTTCCAGCGCGAGCTGCACATCTGGGTCAGCCAAGCTGTAAATTCTCTTGCACCTTTCGGCGGCTTCGTACAGCCTTTGGGTGACCTCAGAGAAGGCCTCTATGCTGCCTTGCAGCGCAGCCCCTCCGGGAGTTTGGGACTGAAGTCGGGCAGAGGTGCGCTGAAGCAAGCCCTCGGTGTGCACAAACGAGGCATTCACCACTTGCAGCATTTCATCCCTCCATTGCAAGAAGGTGCTGGCAAGACTCGCGCTTGCTTGCTGCATGCTGGCATCGCTTGGTGCACTCTTGCATTCCTTGCAAAATCGGTCGATGGCGACGGCAAGTTGCTTGTTCTTGCCCTGCGTCTTGATGCTTCTCTCTCGTGCTGCAGTCTTTGCCTGCAATACCATTTGCAGATCTGACTCGATCTCTTCCCTGACGCGACCGTCAGCCGTGCGGTGGAATGTCAAGTGGTTCATCGCTTCCAGAGCCTCCACCCCTTGGATTGCATCGTGCTGGTCGCAGAGCAGGGCATCCATCTGCGTCGTCGCGGCACGAACACTTGCTCCTGCTCTCATTCCCGTTCTGCACATGTGCTCCAAAACCCTGGGCGCAAACCGCATGGCCCGAAGCTCCAACAGCTCAGGCACAGCACCCTCTGCGCTCCCCTGCTGAATCTCATATGCGCTCTCCAAATGCCACTGGCCACGCAGCGTCTCGTTGAAGCCCTCTTCCAACAGAGTGCGACGATGAACCAGAATGCTCTTGCGATGCATGAGCTTCTCTATTCCCATGTCTTGAAGGTCGGCATCTGTCAATTGCATGAGGAGCTTCCCATCAACGGCATTGTCACGAAAGGCGTCCACATACTGGCGGATGGGGCCTGGAAGCGAGACAACCCAGTCGGCCACTTCGTTCATGTCTATGGTGCTCATATTCTGATTTGGAGCAGCGACTGACTCTTTCTTCCCGCGGAGTGGCCAAGCTCGAACTGTGGGCAAGCAGCGGCGCGGCTGCTGGACCCCACAGAAGGTGCTTGGGCTGGAATCCTTCGAGCGATGCGCAGCAAGCGCCGCAAGAACTGCGATCAGCACTCGTTGCTAAGCCTGCCTGCTGACCATGTCGCCACACAATCAATCAAGGGAAGTTGGACGAGATAGCTCACAAGCTTGAGCAAGGAGCAGAACTGCGAAAGAATGGAAACTGTGGAGGAGAGAGTCGCAGGCTCCAGAGAGTATGTCAACATCGGTCAACGGAAACTGCATGCAAGAGCTACCGCCTCTCTGCATGGATGCGTGCAGGAAGATCCTCAGCCATGCTGTAGGCCACGACGATTGTGCCCTCAGGAGGCTCATGAAGCAGTTGCTTCGGCTGTGAATCATCAGTGCCATGCAGGACAGCCATCTCGTCAAGAGTTGCAAGACCGCTCGAAAGCACCGGGCAGACCGTCAGCACCTCAGCTGAGAAGGGGCTAGGCTAATGACTGATGCCGTTTGCAAAGCCTGACAACATCTCGTCACCCTTCAAAACCTGGCAGACCTGAGCCACGCCTCAGGTACCAACGGTTTGGATCGCCTTCGCATTGGAGAACACATCTTGAAAAGGACCTCAGGGAAAGGTTCTCTACCCCAATGAGCTCATTGCCCAGGAACCTTGACTGACACGATTTCCACGGAATGGAACCATGAAAAGTATCGTGTGTTTTTACATGCATTCGTCGCACCTGCGAACCGCACTCGTAATCATCACACTGACATGTGACGGGAACATCCAGCAAGATTAGAAGTGTCAGGCGGGTAATGTTGTTTTGTTGCCTGACAGAGGAGCCCCCAACAGAGTTCGCACGCATCCCCTCAAGCCTTTCCCTGTCTCACAGAAACCCCAACACATTGAGCAGGTTCTCGGAGCGTGGAGGTAGTTTCCTCATTGTGATCGGACATCTTTTGGAGTTCGTTAGTTTGGGAATCTCAAACCTTCGTGGGGCATCCAGGCAAGGACTTTGGACAAGGGTGGTGTAGTTTCGGGGCACGCTAGGATGCCAAGGTGCCGGTTTTCGAATCAGCTGCTTTTGCCAAAGAACGTCCCCAAAACGGGTCGTCGCTGTTCATTCTGGGAACAGAGTACGACAGAGGTTGCGCAGGTTTCTATCGCTAAGCCGCCAAGTAAGTCCGAGTGCCAGCGGACGGTGATTGATTTCGTCTTTGGTCGGCTCGCTCTGTCAGGTTAGGTTGGGCATGGGCGCAGCAGCGCAGCCTAGGGCCTAGATACTGACGAGATTCAAGAGCCACTGTACTTGGACCTGCTTTAGCAACATAGACTACAACACGGATCCGCATATTGCGCCCCTTGTATAGAATGGGGTTAAGTTTAGTTATTTATTTATCAAAGGTCCAGATTTTCTGCCTTTGCACATCTAACACGCCTGGTACCTCCGCGAACAAAACGCACCACTGCCGGCCTGCGCAATTTGAGTGAGCCGCCGCGTCGCCTCCAGATTCACAGAAAATAGGGAACCCCGATTCTCCCCTAAACCCCACATAATAGGATGCTTATTACGAGGACCCCGGAGGAAGCTAACTACGCCAGTCTTCAGAAATGCCATCATGGAGCAGTTGGTTGAGCTCGTCGGCAGGACGTTCAACACTGCATAGAATAGCAAGGTGTGAAAAGACCCCCACATCAGGGGCAAACAGTGAAGTGTCATGCCGATCCCCAGCGACACCTGGAGGTACGGCGGAATCGCGCTGGAATGCATCGCCGGAAGCATGGTTTCAAGGGTTGAACAAGGAATCTGCAGCAGTCGGTCGCTGTCTCGCAGTAAGACCTTTAAGTCCTGCAGTACGCATCGGCTCGGAAGGGTCCGTAACTACTTGGAGTATTAGCGGGCTTAGTAAGTATGGTGAGGAGTCTTAAAGGCAACCTATTTGGGCTAATTGGCAGGACTTACAACTACAACTGCTGCTGCCTTACGTTTATAACCCTACTTAGGAAGTCCAATGATCCTCTTATTAAGGATCCCTATTACAATAAAGGGGGACATGGGCTGCCGGATCCGACGAGCATTGGTATAGCAAAACAGGAAACCCCTCCCATATACGACAAGTTCGGTGGCATTTGTCGGCTTGCAGCAGAGTTCGGTCAGCTTGAAGATATGGCTTCAGACACAGCTGCATTCCACAGAAGAGCGGAAGGATTAGGGTTTACGGCTTAGTATATTTAGGTTGCTTGTGTGCACCTCTATATTACCGTTGCAGACAGGAAGTTTGCTGCACGTGACACATCGAGGTTTGCACAGCTTGCACCATGCAGTCTTTGAGCACGAGTGACCTGGCTCGGCAAGGCGCGGAAGGAGTGCCAAAACCAGAATGAACAAATGCGGACCGAAATGGGGATCCTGTTTCAAGCATCAAACTTGGACACGGGCCTGAGGTCATAGTACCACTACGTACCACGATCAAGAAACCATACCCGTGCCGCCCGTGCCAATCCTTTTGCATCTTCTTGCAAACGTACTGTTCGCAGCTGCACAACCCATGCGACAGCAACAGCCGCTCCCATTAGCACGCCTTACCACGCTGCCTACGTCTTCACAATTAAACTGCCCCTGGCATGGTGGCGTGCTTCGCCGCCTCGCTCCTGTGGCGAGTGGCATCTACGAGATACGAGAGGCACGAGGGTACCTGAGGGAAGCGGACTCCGAGACTCGGCTCGGAGCCTTGCGAGCTTGGAAGCCACGCGGCTCGGAGTATGGGCTCTTGAAACAAGCTCCTCAGGCCGGACTGAGGCGCCGCTGGGTCTTCACGTCTTGTGGGGCGTGGCTTCCAGGCTGGCCATCGTGGCTCTAAAGCAAAAGGAATCCACGAAGCTAGCAACATGCATTCAGCGAAAATCCGTTTCTCCAGGGAGGCCCAACCGTCCAGACAGAATGCCTGGCCGGCTTGCTGAAAGGTTTTGCAGGGTGAAGCCTCTAAATCTCCAAACCCCTTCAAATTAATTCCTTGTCACATGGAGGCTTGTGTAGTGGCAGCAAGATGCCAGGCATGATGGTTTCCCCGCAACTCTGAAAGGGGATGAGGCCACAAGGCCTCCACCACGGTGCCGGGTGCCGTGGCAGAAGCCTGAGCCGAGGTGGGAAGATAGCAAAAGCATCAGTGTGCTCTGCAGGACTCTTTGCATATGGACCTTCAAGCTCTTTCACCAAAAGGGTGCGTGCTCTTAGAAGAACTAGTTCCTTGGCGGCATTGTGCCAAGGCAGCTGGTGCTGCCCTTCTACAGTTCGACAGACTCAACTTAGCTAGGACCATTCCACACGCCAACTGGCATGAAAGGCAGTGCCTGCGCGACCTCCTCAGCTTGAAGTGCTGGTGGACACCCTGGAATCAATTGGCAGGCATGTGTCGAGGCTGTTACTGGTGCCATCCGGAAGCATCGTAACGCCAGAGCTCTCATGTACATCAGTCACATGGGTGACTAAGCATTATGCGGATACGTGACGCGCTGAAGATGGGAGTCGAGATGAAGTCGATCGTCTGATTTGCTTTCCCGATTGCTTTCATTCCGGTATGCAAAGACCACATACCATGCTGCAGTCCAAAGGCTTTGATGTCATACTATATTTGTCAGTGCCAGGCAAGAAATGTTCCCTGAGAGAGCCAGGGCACGATTCTTGTTCGCATGCTGCGTTGTCGGTAATGCAATGTATTCCCGAGAACTTCGGAAGCTTGTGTCGATCCGTTCTGAAGTTCAGTTTTTTGGCCTGCTTTTGGTTGTAAAGCGACAGGTCCCGCACACGCTAGATTTCGGCATCTGCATCTACTATGCAGCAATGAATGCAGGCAGGATTTCCTAGCTTCAACACTGCAAGCGTGACGATCGATGGAGGGTTTCACATTTGATCCGAGTCTCCAGGAAACGTTTAAGTACATTGTATAATCATGTGGAAAGCGCTCTAGTGCTCTGCCCGCCCACATCCAATGACCCAATGCGACGAGACGTGCATGGGTCGTGGAGCGTTGTCGATGCAGGAGTAGCTGCGGAGATGGACTCTTCTGCTCGATGTCCAGGAACAGTAACCAAACGCAGATTGAATGAACACCTGGAAGCACCCCCACCACTTCGATTGAGCCCATGAGTTTCTGGGCGATCCTACTCCAAGACGTGTGGTGGTTGACATATTCACGAACTACATGCCACGCTCCCAACCATGCAACGGTGTCGCCTGGCGACATGTGCGACATGTCTATTTCCATGGCCTTCGATCGACAGCAATCGAAATCTAAACATCTTGAAGAAGTCGTCAAACGTGTCATTGCGCATGCCCCTGGCTTGCACCTGACATGACAACAAGAGACTGCAGTCACACAAAGAGCCTTCCTATATATACAACTGTCAATCGAAAGATGTGTACGCATGTGTGTGATGATTCCTTTCATCATTCACTCTTGCAGCGTGGATTTGATTTCTCGGCATTGTCCCAGTTTTTACTAGAACATCAGTCTTCTTGAAGTGTTGCGGGTGTTCCAGTTCGACTTCGGCGAAATGGAAATGGAGTCCAAGTAGTCTCGTAGGAGAGCAAGAGGAACAGAGGAAATAACAGTTTCAACAGTCCGAAGCCTAGAAGTCTGAGCATTGTACAAACCAATGCATGTGCACCCGCAATCTCGCCAGCAAGAAGGAAAAGAATCCTGTGCGGCCTCGCCAAATTTTAACGAGAACCACGCTTTTCCTAAACAAATTTGCAGCATGGTCACATAGGGATTTCAGAATACCGGCAGCGTATGTACATATTCAGCTAGAGCTTGAAAAATCCCACCTGCTGCAGCAGCATAGGCGCATGGCCTGGCAAGGCAGGCACAGTGGCAACCACGAGGACCAGCGGCTCAACATTCAGGGCTACATGATCTCACCAATGGTCTTCAAGCCTAGAATCCCTACGCTTGAAAAACCCGCAGAGCCGAGGCGGTCATGTCATGCTACCACGTCCAGCGGCTCTTGTTCTCCACAGTCATGCTGCAGTAAACGTGGATACAGCAAGCGGGCTTCATGTCGGCACACGAATCAGTGTCGGACTTGCTGTACAGAAAAAACAAAAATGACCTCACGTCCTGAAAGCATTTCGCACTGATGCCCCACGTTTGCTCACAGCAACACTGGCATCCCCCATCCCGAAAACATCCATCTGCGACAGCTGGCTACGGCTTTTGCAGAATTCTGTGGACGTACCGTAAAACTCGACCCTGCGATCTGCTACGAGTATGGTGCTCCAGACCCCATAAACAGATACTGTCCCCCTTCCGTGGATGGATGGATGAATGGAATAATGATACATAGATAGACTCAGACAGATATCTTATTCGACACCCACACAGATGTCTTCATTCAATGTCTGTGAGTGTGTTTTGAGGGAGATTTGCGAATGGAGGGCCTCATCACGGAGGCGTCCAACCAGAACCCACACGTCCTCTGGAGGCTCTCCTGCTGCCTGTGCGCAGCACTATTGGAAACTCGATTTCAAGCCTTGCACGCTCAGAAGCCCATCACTCGTCAGATGGAACACCCACGCACAGAAAGCCGCGCACGGTAGCGCAATTCAACAACAGGTGCGAGATGCCAATCATCAGACCCGCCTCTTTCGGCTGGTTGGCGACCGATAAGGCCTGAGCCAAGCACGAAGAACGACGGTGATGTCGAATCCAGGCTGTGCCAAGCCTTCTGCAGCTGCAACTGCAGTCTTGGCAGATCTGAAACTTTGCAATCGCTGCAAAAATGCAGCTGCTTCGCCTCGAAATGCACAACGGAGCAGCAGCGCAGAGTAGGACCGTACGCAGTCCGGCCGCCGGCTGGCCTGCGGCTTCGGTGCCTTCGGGCCCACGCCCACGGGCGCTCTGCCCTCCGCAAGCAGCCAAAGGCTCTTGACCTGAAAGCGGCGAAGCATCAGGGGCTTGGGAGGCCCCGAAGAAAACTCTCAATGTCTGCTAACATTCGGTGCCTTGGCTGCTTCGGCGACGCACTGCAAAAAGCTCTGGTCGATGCTGCCCAGCACGGACATGCCTCGCAAACAGCGGCTCCAAGGAAGGTTGGAGAAGGAAAGTGACGAAAGACGTTTCGCGTGCCCCACCGTCGCCAGGCGCCTGAAGCCTCTCGCTCACAGACCTCGGATTGCCATCCGCACCAGCCCCTCTGCACCAATGCCTTTGCGACGCGGTGCTGAGCCGCGGGCCAGGAGAAGATCTCGTCCTCCCCTGCGCAGGCCCCGTAAGCCTCGAGCGAGAGTGTCTCACTCGGCCGGCCGGCCATTCATTCGTCGCAGCAAGAATGTTGAAGCCTCGAAAAAAGCTCGGGCTTGAGTGCTCGAAGAGAAGCGCACGTAGCCCTCGGAGCGGAGCCGAGAGAAACAAAAAAGAACAAAAAACGTCTTCTCATGTTTTTTCGCCCCATCAACGGCCTGCCCTGTCGGTTGGCCGTCATGTCGAAGCAGGTACAGGTCCTGGCAAAAGTCAAGCAAAGCTTCTGAAGCGCCAACTTCCGGACACTGCGACCTTCACATCGCCGAAGCGACTGGCCCGTTCCATTATCAGCTTACCATCCTGGCACCATTCCACAGCAGGCGAAACAGCGAAATACACGGTTTCCATCTATCTCGGACCTCCAGGCAGTCTGCGACGGACAAGTCGCGCATGTAGAGCTGGCAGGAATTCCATTCTCTGGGTGCGTAGAGACGCCGGAAGGTCAACACATGTCAACCAAAACCTCGCAACCCGTGGCATTGGGCGGCAGCTCGATGGTGAGCTCATCCGCGAACACCCGCAGCGGCCTCGGTGCCAATCACAGCAGTCACAGCACAAAGTCGCATGTCCCTGAGACAACTGACGCCTGCACACTCGCTCCAGAAGATGTCTAGGCCCGCCGCTGAACCTCTTGCAAACACCGCATGTACTCTTCAAAGGTCTTCTGATCGTACTCGTACTCGATGGTCGAATGCCTCACAGAATGATCAGATGCTGGGTATCCGCACCAAAGCCAGGTTGCCTGGCGTCTCGGGACTGAGGACTCAAGTCCATCACCACTGCCTGCTTCGCAATCTGGGCAATCACCGCACGGCGATCAGCGCAGAACTCGAAACACTAGAGATACTCCACCAAATGCAGCACCTCTGCGTTGGATCTGCGCGTTTCGAGCGCATCTCCCGGTGTCTCCATGATGGAGCTGCAACCCTACCAGTCTCTCGTGTTTCGCCTAGACAATGCCCCTGGCAAACCGGCCCCTGATGCCCTCGACTGTAAGGGATTATGCAGTTCAAACACTAAGATCTCCTGCTGAAACGATCCCGAGAGAATCCTTGAGCAAAGGCGGCTTAGTGATTTGACGTGCGACGAATGAGGCTTATGTGCCCAAAATGGAAACTTCAATCTGCAAGGGACGACTGATTAAGTGAACTGCGAGCTCTCTGAACGCAGCTTTCCATCCACTGCAGCCATCCAAGACTAGAATCGGCGCGCGGCCCGGGAAAGCGGACGCAGCTCAGTTCTACGAAGCCGCTAAGTCAGTGCTGGGCCCCGAGGACGCGGACACTTCTCCGCGGACAGGGCAGATACGCAGGCGGCAGGAAATGCCAAAAGAGGCCGGCGGCTGACTCGGCTGAGGCTCGAAAGCTCAAGCAACCGACGAGTGTAGAAGAGCGTCTGTCACATTTGGCCCTTCAATGTCTTCCTGCTGGTCTTCTTGGGCATGCCGGCGGCCGAGTTGTGCAAGGGCGTGTCCAGGTCTCGGCCACATAAATCTAAAACTCCAGCACCTTCCCTGTCATCATGCACAAAAGCATCAATCTTCTCGCAAGCCTCTTGACCGGATGTTGAGCTTGGCATAGCAAGAACACTTCAACAAACGTAATTCACACATGCTGCGTTGTTGAACTTCTCCCTTCGGCGGCACGACTGCCAAGCCCTACGAGTGCAGGATCACTGGTCGACGCTCGTGCACTGGTGTGGGGACAAACCGATGGTGGTCTGCATCCAGGTAGTCTTGTCTTCCGTGGAACATCAACGCCGAAAGACATTCCGCCGCTGCTGCACGCACATATAGGGTGTCATCCACTCTCCTGGTCTCTCCATGAGTATACCAACAGAACTGTCCTCCCCACCAGGCCAAATCTGAGATTAGACGGTCGACCTCTTCTGGCGCATGCCCCCGCCAAATCTCGTGCATGCGCAGCATGCAGTTCAGGCCTCAGCCACGCTAGACTAAACTCCGACGGTTGAAACGCCTTTGCGGGTGCGTCCAAGTAACCGCTACGTGACCTGATCCGTGCCGGGTTGTCATACCCGTGCACATTCGGAGGAATCAGGGCACCCCCACTTAGGTGCAGCTTTGCAATGCTGCGGATCTGAAATGCAAGCTCCTGAAGTTGCAAATGTGAACATCACGAATCATTACGACATATCATAACATCAAGCAAGAGCAGGCCTTGGGGTCAGTGAAGCCTTGCGACACGGCCCGGGTCTTGCAGATCTCTGCGGCCTCAACGGCACCGCTGGCAACTGGCAACTGACAACTCTTCCGTGGCGTGGAAACAAGCGAATGTGACAGGGCCGCGCACTGGCAGCCACTGGAGAACTTGCATCATCAAGAAGTGCCTTGGTTCGACATCATGCAAACCGCGGCGAAGGAGTGCGCCCCCTTAGCAGATGTTGAGCGTTTCGGGTGTTGGCCCTCTGCGCGCGCTTTGCCAGAGGTCTCAAAAGACTCGCCTTACTCGTGATGCCTTCTTTGGCGGCGGATCTGAAATGACAGATCCCGCAATGGGGATCAAGATGAGCGGACGTTGGGAAGAGCATCTTGGTCACTAGTTCAACTTGCCGGTGAGTGACTATGACGACAACATGACCATCTTCCAAACAGATCGGCAGGCTGGCAGGGATAGGCGGTGACATTGTTGAATTCGGGACATCAGACACAAACACCAGCTGCATGACGGAAGAACATCCAATACAATGCACGCAGCACATCACGACCGCGTTGTTCTGCTTGTCTCCATGCATCCTGGTCCGCCCTCAGCTTAAAAATATCCAACAATGCAGCCTTGGTTGCGAGGGCCAAGCAGCAGGCCCCACTTTCTCCTGCAAGGATTACCACAGACTGAAGGAAAATGGCTTGCAAAGGCGAAAACGCTGGCCTCCTGAACCTCCGTCAATTTTAGTGGGCCATTTGCCAAAAAGCTACATCGTTGGAACTCCAGCACAAAAACGCTTTCTGCCTGGTTCGGCTCGAATGTCACGGCATCGACCGCAACTGCGACCTGCTGCAAGGTGCGCCAAGAAGCGATGCTCCCAAGGCACAGCAGAGCGCAGCTTCAACTCCAACTCGCCTACATCGAGCACATACAGAGAGCTGCGACGAGAAGTTGGCGAGTGAACCGGTGAGCATCCAAAAAGGTGATTCGGAGCTCGGCAGTGACTGCAACAACCACGCTGAAACTGAACTCAATGAACCTATGGAGATGGGGAGGGTACAGGAAAGTTCGGCTCCAAAAGGGCTCGGGACGAGCATGGATTGACACTTGCATAGGAGAACAACACATGCTCGCGACATCTGGTATAAGCTTGACGACAGCTTGACGTGGGACTACTCCTGGCCTCCGCTCCCTGCGGCTGGGTCCAGCAGCTCTGGTCGTACTCATCTTCGATAGCCGAGCCTTCGAGCCTGACAAACTGATCAATTTTGCGCGGTCACGCTGAAAGCGGGAAGCCGGGTTGCCTCTGGCCGGAATGGTGTACATCCAAGGACTCCTCGGGCGACTCTTCAGAAGGCAAGAGTTGTGTGGATACATATCCATGCAATATAATATGTACGCAAATATTTGGGAACCCCCCGTTCAGCAGGAACCGGTCAGGGACCTGGTTCTTTGGTGGCGGTCGGACCCAAAAGTAATCGAGCCGTGTAGGCGGGGAGCAGCAGCAGAAGACCATTCAAAGCAACGGGCAGAGCATCAAAAAGCCTGGAAGCGAAACTTCGGATGGATATAGACCGAGACGGGCGCGAGTAGACAGCAACGACAAACCCACGCCGAAGCGCTGGTCAGACCCAAAGATCAGTGCAACGACTGAGTGCATCGCAACATCAATTTGAGATACTGGGCACATGATCAAGTTGGGGGCTGAGCAACAGCTGCCCTGACTGAATGTGGTGCACTTGTTCACCGAAAAGGCACGGTTGTGGCACTCCACACAAACATGATTGCGTTAGAACTGCCTCTCTTTCGCTATGTACTCGCTTAAAGCCAGCACCTATTCGTCAGAAATGACGATGACTTTGGCATCCATAACTTATTTGTAAGTTGTATATTCATGTATATGGTATGTCTAGTATTCTCTAGAAGATCCAACATCCAGCTTCAGGATACCTAGTTTTACTACACCATGCAATGTGGTGTCATGGTAGATTCAAACACATGTTCTTCTGCGAAGCCAATACCGTGAAGTGAACTTATAACAAATTGTCAAGACGTGCCAATCCAGGTGGTAATATCAGGCCAAGTATATTCTCCTACAACAAGCAAGCGAATCTATGAAACACTTCTTCGAAGTCTTTCGTTCACAAGTAGAAACTGTTTATCTGTTTTTGGTTGTAACTAGAATTCTTTCTCCGACACTTGAACTATATATTTACTTGTTTGAATACTCCTTTAATGACGCTTCTGTGAACTAAACTCAGAAAGGACACCTCGTCATCCAAGTCCATGCGGTAGCTGTGAATCTTGGCCTGGCGATGCTGCAACCGTGGCAGAAGCGTGTGTCTGTTACATACACTATCCCCGCCTGGCGCCGGCGTCGCTGCTGCCTTTCCAGCAAACCTGAATCTTGTTGCACTATGCTGATTCCGATGAGATTTCAGTGCCCGGCTTGACGAAGGAATGACAGCTGCTGCGGCTTCAGTTTCCTAGTCCGATGGTCTTTCCGACGCTCGCGACAGAAGCATCTCTGAGGCAAATGCGAAATTGGAAGCATCCCGGTTTTCCTCCTTATCCTTCACGAAGGCGGCTTCGGCCTTGCCAGCATCTTCTGGAGATTTGAACTCTGAACGGCGAGGGGCACTGTGCCGGCCAAGGATGCCACGCTTCCGCAGCTTGAAGGCTTGACCTCATCGAAACAGCAGCGACATGTGCGACCGCCATCTATCGTTGCAGTGAATTGGCGTGACTCCGTCAAAAAGATCGGTAGCAGAGGCTGTGGCCAACTTCTCTGGAGTCTCAGCGTCGTCCTGTGTCGTGACATGGGGACTCAAAGAGCTTTCAACAGACTTTGCTAGCACTCCTGCGCTTTGTGGCGCCTCCGAGGTGCGCAGGGGAAGTCCTGCCAAGCTTGCTCTATCCCGGGAAAACGCCATGCCGGCCAGCGACTGTGGAAGGGCAGAACGGCAGAACAATTGCCTTTCTCGGGTATCCCCTCATCATTCCCAAAGCATTGGCCCGCAACTTGCTGGTGCACAGGTGACCTCGTCCATCCCGAGCACCTGCCAAGGTGGCACCTTCCTCCTGCTCAAACCCTGAAGCCACTCTGAGACAAAGGCCGGGTTGTTAGTATCCACGTTTTCCCCATTGACTCTTGCGGCCTCTGCATTGCCAGACTTCATGCAATGCGCTTTCGGGAGCTGCCGAATAAGTCTGCTGCCAGGCTTGCAACAGGCTTGGCCTCAACGCCGTAAGACTGAATGCAACCGAAGACAAAGCCGCACAAGGTCCCCACCAACTTCTCGGGAGTTGCCACCTCCTGCAGTCACGGCGGGTGCAAGCCGGAAGCCTTTCACCAGACCTTGGCGCTGCTCCTGTGATTTGCTGCGACGCGGCGGAGTGCCTGGGACGTCCTGCCAAACATCTGGCAGAAGGAAGAGCGAAAGGGGATCTTTGGTGAGATTTCGTGCCTCATGTTCAGCAGGACTCCCCAGCGGCACCTCCAAAGTGAACAGGACCAGAGTGACTGGACCCGTGAAGCAACGGTTGGACGGTTGGGTGGCGTGCGCCGACCTAAGTACCACCACTCAGCACTTTTGCTTGACTGGAAATCGGGGCCGAAGTAGCGCGACAGTGTGTGCTCTGGGTTGTCTGCCTCTCCCTATCAACCCTACACCCCCGAGTGCCAGCCCTGATGTGTAAAGCCTTGGCAACCTCGGCATGGATGAGGTGCGTGAATTCGCGCAAGAGGTCTGCACGAAAGCTTCGCCATTCCTGTCAGTCACTACAGTCACTACCCCTCACTCTTAACCGGCTCTCAACATCTGCTACAACAACTACAGCCGTCAGACTCCTGAAGCAGTTCCTCCTTGACGGCTTGCGATGCCTCATTTGAGGCCGAATGTTCTTGACATCTCCCTGCATGACAAGCGGATCTCCCGAAGGTCCAAGGTCGGCACGGCCTTTATGAAGCCCTCCGTCACGGCCAGGTCCATGCTGTTGTTGGACTCTGTCGGAGCCTTCGAGCAGAGCTGCAAACCATGAGACTACTAGGACCTGTCGCTTTAGGAGACTTGCTGGGAGTGAATTTGAAACCTGCCTCCTCGCCCCAGAAGGCTTGCAACATGGCGTGGCTGCAGTTGGCGTTTTGAACTGCAACTGCCACACGAAGTTCAAGAATTACGAGATCCGTGGATATGCAACGTGCTCTCGTTTCATAAGCCGTAAAACCCATGTCATCTAATCCGAGCCAATGGCTGGCATGAACCTCTCACGTGTTTGCTTGGTGAAGGCTTGGTGGGCATGGTTACATGCTGTAATCAGTTTGCGAAGCTCACACTTGGCCATGTTCAAAGCCAGTTTACAGGGCTTGCTTTCGATTCGGCTTGAACCACTGCGGCCACAAGCAAAAATGGGATGCAACCGCCGATTGTTTATTCTGTTCCGCTGCACATGCCACCTGCAAACTGGATCGCACAACTCGAAAGCGACAAGACAGACGCGAAGCGGGACGCAGAGACAGAGACAGACAGAGTGATTCAAACGAGCAATGGCAGCAACACGTGCAGTAGCAGTAGCAGCGGCAGTAGCAGTGGCAGCAGCAACAGCAGTAGCAGTAGCAGTAGCAGTAGCAGCAACAGCAGCATTAGCAGTAGCAGTAGCAGTAGGAGTAGTAGTTGGAGTAGAGTAATTAGTAGTAGCTGATTCCTGTTCAATGAATCATGTGCTGGGCCCTAGGCCATCTGAATCTGCACCACGCACACCAGCACACGTCCATCTTGCTATCCGACAGGGAACGGGGAACTCAGAACCCAAAAGCTCTTGATCACCTGGTTTGCGGCGTGGGCCAGCCGCCCCACTGCAGGAACACTCCAATGCTGAAGTTGCTTGATTCAGCTTGCATTGCCACATGCTGCAGGGCACGCAACTTGGGCAAATCTGAAAGGGTCCTGTCTCAGCATAATGCCGAGTGGTTTTCGAGCCTGTGTGTTTTTGAATGCGACCTGCTGATGTGCAGCAAAATTCATGCAGAGATACAGCGTCTTGGCAGGCCAGCCAGCTCGAAACGACAAACTAGAAACCAAAGATCAAACATCACGGGCGCATTTGACCTTTCCTTCTTCAGCTTGGAGCATGTGTCAGCACAGCGCTTGAAATCTAGCATCTACAACAAGCTGGGAGACTCAGAGGATGCCGACTTCTTCCTGCTGGCAGGATAGCGATGGACTTAGCCACGGACTTGGGGAGATTCGAGGAGCTGTGGATGATCCCAGCGTCTGGAACGTCGGCTCGTGCTCGTAGCGGTCGTAGCGTGGCACATCCCGTGGATTGGCACAAATTTCAGCTGTATAAACAATAGGAAGCGGTCCTTATGCATCTGTCGTCCACCTCTCCCGATCTCGGCTTACACATGCTTACACCACCAACTCCATTCTCTTCATTGTGTCAACCTCTGTGCCCATGCAGCATGGCGTCCAAAGCCAAGAAAAGAAGCTGTGCGGCTTGTCAACAGTCTCTGGGTGCCCCGAGTGTTCCGCTCGCTGCAGTCGCATGGCCAGCTGCCTCTGGCACGAGAATTCGTAGGCATCGATGTCTACGTGATATCGTTGACAACACCAGTCGAGCTTGCGCCTTCGCATCTTGAAGTATTTGCATCTCCGAGGGCCATACCGTTCTTCCAATTGCTCGGCACTTTGCATGCCTGCCTGGACAGCTTTTCGAAAGGCATCTGGAGCGGGAATCCGCAAAAGCTCCTGGAAGGCCTGACACAGGAACACCCGCAGTCACAACAATCCAATCCAAAACGCACTAGGCTGGCCGCAATTCCGTAAGCCATCCTGCGTTGAGGACGCCATCCCACACGTCGCCCGCAGCTGAAAAGAGAAGCTGCAAGGCAGCGCGACACTTCTGGCACGAGCCTTGATATACGAACAAGGACGCATCAATTCTGCGAAACTCTGCGCTGCATGTTCCCGAGCGGCTTGATGGGCAGGGAGTCAAAGACTCCAGCCACGAATGCAGCCTGCCAGCGCGGTGCGATGAGCAAGCAGCTTCTGCGTTTCTACATCGGCATACAATAAAGCAAGGACCGTCATATGGTTTTTATCACAAACTATGCTCTCACGGCATGGGCTGTTCAGGAAGCGACTCGGTGTGAAAACCATCTAACAATACTTAACAGACTTTACACATATATACCACTTCTGTATGTATGTGTGTATATATATATATATATTGTCATATCCTTACACATACTCTATATATATATATATATATATATATATATATATATATGCTCCCCCCCCCCCCCCCCAGGACCTACCTCGAAGCCTCTTCTTGTACTGTCTGGACGACGCTACGACTCCACTCCGAACTAAACTGTAATATACTGCGTAGTCTTCAGTCTACGACGACACCACACCGCGAACCAAAACAATACCATGAAGTATTGTCTACTGTCCTCTGTATGCTACGCTACTTAACGGCGCACTCCTCCCGATGTTCCTTTTTTGAACCGTGATCTATAGGGTATATTTAAACTTAAACTATTGTAAACGGTATCTTAAAAGGTATTCTGGAGTATATTCTATGAGGCATATTTGGGGTATACAAAAGATATATTCCATAGGCGGTCTTCTGTAAGGATGGTATTCTCTAGGGCATTCTATAAGGTATTGTAGAGAGTACTCCATAAGGTATTGTACAGCATTCTAAGGTTTATATGTAGGTATTGCATAGTGTATGTTTTATGAAATTCATTAAGGTGCATAGCGAGTGCATTTTATAAGGTAGTTGTAAAGATAGTTGTCCTGGTTCCTGATTTCTTCATAAGAATCCCTTACCCGAAAGCTGCAATTCAACTAGAAATTCTCAGATCTTGGGCTCCGGCTGGCTTGCCATATTTAAAACCCGTATCTATAAGGTACTGTTAGCGTTTTCTATAATGGGTTCTAAAAGGTAATCTACATGGTACTGTACAAACTGTACAAGTATTCTATATGGCATGCATAATGTACACAGGATGTATCAAATAGAGGCGTTCTTCTAAGTATTCAAGGGGGTATTGCAGATGGTATTATATAAGGTGTATGTAGGGTAAATCGGTGGAAAAGGTAGCTTAAAGGGCATTCTATATGGTATGTGCAGCATGTGTTTCAGAAAAGCTCTGTTCCCTGTATGTATCTTTTGCTAGATAAGCATCGATTTTCGAGGAATTTCTAGATCCTATATTCCGGCAATTCTTTGATATGAATCCATTGCTAAATACACCACACGCAACTGGGGAACTCTCAGATCTTGGGTGCACAAGGTGCATAAGGAATAGAGGAACATTATATAAGGTATTACCGCATTCTACATGGATTTCTTTACGGTTTGTACAAAGGGTATTCTGCAAGGTATTCTACAGGCATAAATGTCCGTTGCTCAAAAAGCTGCAAGAAGCTTGGGCTCCTTCTGATTTACTTTGCGTAAGTTTTGATCTATACGGTTTTTGTCGGGTATCCCAAAGGGGGTTCTCAAGGGCATGTATAAGGTATAAGGGGAGTATCATGCATAGAGCGTTTATAAACCATTCTGTAAATTATTCCAGATGGTATTCTCAAAGGCTCATATAGGAATATAGGGTCTATAGGAGATAAACAATGTATTGAGCCAAACGCTTACAAAACAATATGACGTCAGACGCGCATTCCCGTCTGGTTCGTGCTATGCTTGGGGGCTGGCATGAGTTCCGCGATTTTGCACCTAGCCCTGCATGTTTTCCCACCGCCGCAAGGGAGAGGCGAAGTCGGCCGCAAGCAAGCAAGTGAGCCAGTGAGCACTGCAAGTAGCTGCTTTGTAGAAGGAAATGCTCAGTTCTCCTGGACCTTTGCAAGGACATCCTCCATACCAACAGATCAAGATTCTAGTACGAAGCCCAATTAGAAATGAGTATCTAGGTTGAAAGTCCTCCATTTTCATGCGGTGTTAAGCGCAATTTTTTGTTCGCTTGTCACTTGAATATGGACTTATGTTTTCTCCAGAGCTTCGTACTGAGGACGTTGCACCCCGCCTGGCCCAACTTGTAGCAGAACTCTAGAACTCTAAGGCCCGAACTTTCACAGGCTATTTAGCCTTTCAATTCACTTAAGCTTCTTCTTTGCGGAGTCCTTTATCTTAGGCTTCTTCTTTCTAACGCCTTTACAGCCGGAAGGACTTTTCAAAGCCCTCGAGTCCGAAGGACTCGAGGGCCCTTTGCCTAGAGTACTGCAGTTCTGCTACCACTTGGGCGAGGCGTGGTATAACAATGTAAGAAAATGCTGCGACCCCTGGTACGTTTAAAGAAACCAAACTCAAACGGGGCGCACGTACTGTGCACTACTTTGCTCCTAATTGCTGCAGGATTTCTATACCAGGATGAATGAGGGAAGGAAACAGGCAAACCAAACGCAAAAGATGCGGAACTAAACTTGCGACTGTGCTTTGCCAACGTCATGATGCATCATGACCTGACTGCATCGCTTCGCCAACACTAGTACACAACGCAAGTCCTCGTCCTGCTCTCAAAGCGAAGGGGTTGCAGGTCTTGGGCAAGTCCCTCCTGCCCACTGCTTTTTGCCCAAAACATTCGTAAAGAACACTGCGAAAAAACATTGCCTTCTGCGCACGGGAAGACTGTAATCGAAGATCTGGCTATCTGGGCTGAGAAGGCACATGAAACTCTCTGTTCACGCCGCGCCGTTCTGAATCTGATCCACACCTTCCAGGATGGCCAACTTCTCTTTGATACGCTGGCCCTCCCAGAATCAAGTTTCTGCTGCAGCTGCACCCAGACGGCAAACACGAAATCATCATGAAGACGCTCCTGTGTCTTGATCTGGGCAGCCATGCACACCTGGGACACGTCAGGCCGCGCAAGCGGACAACTGCTAGGCAGCTAGAATAGGAAGAGCAAAAGAAGTGGACATGCCGTCACTTGCTGTTGCTTGGCCAAAGACGATGGCTGCCAAAGGGCGAAAAAATCATCGCCACAAGCAACACCGTGTCACTTGTTCTCTCTGGCGCAGGAGCACACAACAGCCTCGTGCATTGTTTTTGATAACGGCAAACATGATGCAAAGACACCGGAAATGGCACTGGGACTTGTGAAAGCACAATAGCTTGCAACAGGATACAAGAAGTGGGCTGAAACAAAGGCCTGGCTGCAGCGACAGCTGCTTTTCTAACCTCCTGCGACTGCGCTTCGTAAGTTGCATGCGCTACTGTCGCAGAACCATCATGGAAGCAGGACGATGTGTGGGGAGGTGCGGGAGGGTGCCTGAACACTCAAGCAGCTGGGCACCGAAAAAGCCTTGAAACTCGTTACCTTGTGCTTGGATGACACACTTTGATCAGAGTTGCTGTCGCAGTTGGCCGGGAAACACAAACGGCCACTGAAACCCGGGCTGAAAAATCCCTCAGAGGCATGCAGTTCTTGCAACAGTTCTTCGGCCGGGAATGCTTTCATGTCACCTTGCGTGCAACTACCATTATATCGCCAGTGCTCCTAGCCTACAATGTCCTGCACATGGGTTCCAGTTGCAAAATCAGGAGACCAGGACCGTTCCTGTGCAAGGGGTGAGGTTGTCTCCTACAGCAGCACCCGGCAGATGAATAGGGGGAAATCATGATGTCCACAAGTACATCTTTGCATCTGACGCGGAATGCTGGACCAAGGCTGCGGCCAGTGGCACGACGGGGACAGGCTCCTCACTGTCTGGCCCCCAGAGGCTGGCCAGTATGAAGATGGGCACGCATGTTGCAGTTTCCAAGAACTGCGGCTTCGCAAGCCCCGAATCCCAAACCAGCAAAGCCTCCTTATAGGACTTCCCAAGCCAAGCTGTCTGTCTCGATGGGGCTTCTTGCTCCAAAGCCCTACAAGAAGGTACCCTGATATGCTCCACCCTCGATTTGAATGGCTAAAATGTTGGGCTGCGAGCAGCCAACTTTTGGCAGAGGCTTGGGGTCTCCAGAGGGGTTAAGGATGCCCATCAATCCTTGGGGGGCTCTTAAGTCATGGTCCATCGCGTCATGTCGGATTGCATGGTGCTGGAATTTTTGAATGCGTCACGCTGTAGGGTATTTGAAGACCGTTGCATGTCTGGGTTTGGAAAGCGAGGAACAAGTCATGGCCTGCTCGGCTCCATCGGCGCAGGAAACAAGCCAAGCACATCACGACCTGACCTGCACTTCATCAACTGCGCAGCGCGCAAGATGAAATCAAGGTCGTTCCTTGGCGACCTCAAAGGGGATACGGCTGCGCAAACACGATGAGTAAAGCCCTCTTCGATGTTTGGATAACCGCACAGCCAGCGCACACCGCGAAATGCTGCGGCCAATCTCAGGAAGGGACCGCCATAGTGTTCGCTGCACCCTTTGCCAGCGCGGCATGGCAGCGAGTATGCTTGCGCACGAGCTCTGCGATATTGGGATCCTGGTAACCTATGGCAACGAGACGTGGGCTACAACGCTGTTGCAATCTAGATCAGATCGATCTCAGGGAAGATGTGTCTGGATCAACGCAGTTCTTGCAATATCGCACTTTCGTCTGCAGAACCCCCAGCAGCTGCATCTGAACATTGCGCGCGTGGTTCAGCTTGCACACTGCGCTGTCGCTCGGATCTCTCAGTCATAAGACTTACTGGTGAAACATTACAGCAAATCTTGCTTCTTTATAAGACTTATTGGGTGGGGCATTAGAGACAATACGGCTTCCTTATGTGAGGCGGGGGTTTCTTGCGGGAAAGAATGCCTGACAGGCCGAGCCAGAACTTAGGGTTTTAGGGTTTTTTACCTCCCGCTAATTAGAAAGGGAAAGGATGCGGTCCAAGGTTCT